TGCAGAAATACATTTTTTAACCCAACAGTAGCTGTGCTTTTAACTTGACAATAGCTGTCTTGATGTGTTGCCAGCCTGATGACAGGTCTAATGTTGTTCTACAAAGTCTTTATCTATAAAACATAATTGAAGAAAATGATGTGTGCCTTTTTTATATAATTTTTAAGTATTCAGTATATATTCTCCATAATCTGTTTTATCGAATTTTAGAAATGTTGACTTTAAATTTACTATAGTTATCACTCTTATATTCTGATATCATTTTTTGTTGTCCGTACTTACAAAAATGGGTACGTTTATACACAAAAAATTAAAAATTCTTTTAAAAATATTGGTATTTGACGTGTGTTAATCTCTTCAATTTATGATTAGTAAATATAGTTTTTACTTAATAAAATAATATCTTCTAAAAGGTTTAAATTAATACAGAATTTTAAATGATTTAAAGCTTAATAAATCTTTAAATTTAAAAAAAACTGAAAACAATTCTTACGAAAGAATTTTTTATCGGAAAAATTTATTTTCTTAAGACAATAGTGTCCTTAATATCTTATTTATAAAAGCAATTAAAAGCTTTTCTAATTAAATAATTTCATAGTTTTACTGCATTTTTTTTATTTGATGATTCAAGGCAGGTTTTTGGTAAATGGTCTTTCTGTTTGACAAAACAAATGGAAGATTTAAATTCTTCAAGGAATCCTGCTTTTAACTAATATGAAGAGGCTAAATTTTAATTTCTTGAAAATTAAATAAGTGGGGGCAACAGATATAAAAACAAAAATATTTTATCAAGATAGCCTAAAAAAAAAAAAAAATAAAAAATGATTTAATTAATTTGTGAATAAGTCCTGAAAATTTCATTAAATTATTCAATTTTTGCAAGAATTTCCAAAAAATGTGTTTTTAAACACAAAAAAGACACTAAAAATCCCTATACTTGGCCTACCTTCTGATGCAAGAAAAACAAGATTTTTAACCAAAATTTTGAATATATGAGAAAAGATTAAAAAATTTAATAAAATAACCAAAAAATACATGGGTCTTTCCTCTTAATAATAACAAACTTTTTGATGATAAAACTTTGTTTTTCTCAAGTTTGGGGCATTTTTTCATCATGGTATACTCTTTTTAGTAAATCTTTGGAGGTACCTATTTAAAATTATTGAAAAAAAAAAAAAAAAATCAGTCACTAAGACTTCCAAACACAATACTCTCCTAACCTGTGAAACAAATAAGAAAAATTCCAGAATTCACATGGTTTTTGATTTTAATTACAATATTCACAAATTATCTCATATCTTACTAAAAGATTTCCAGTACATAAGACTTGACCCCACAATGAATAAGATATTTAGCATGCTCAAACTCTCGACCATGATGACTTTTGACTTTGTGCTTACATAGTTATCTGAACAGTTTCATTTATCCATTTTCACTCACAAGACTTGAGTCAAACTTTGGTATGGTTTCCAGAAACTTTCCAACTTCCAACAGGGCTGCGACCTGCAATCTCCTCACCAGGCTGATAACATCAAAATGTCACTTCACTGATAAATTTTCCATGGTGGGATTTAAAGCTGGGTCTCAAATTTAGAAAGCAAGCATACTAACCACTTGGCCATGTGCTCATTGTTCAAAATCCGGAAGGTATCTTGAGATTTTTGGCCTATTGCCTTTATGTGTGTGTAAACACATACACAATAGGCCAAAAATAACACACACACATGGGTATGCCCCAAAACATTGTTGGGAAAAATTAAATGACATCTCCTATTCGATATCATTTTTCTTGCCAATTTTTGGGGCATCCCCAAGTGTGTGTGTGTGTATATATATATATATATATATATATATATATATATATATATATATATATATATATATATATATATATATAATTTAATAAAAACAAACACTTTAAGGTACCATTACAATAATTTATTTCACAAAAAATCTTTTTTAAGTTTCGGATCATCAGGTAACACTTCCAACAAGTTGGAAGTGTTACCTGATGATCCGAAATCCTTTAAAAAGGATTTTGGTGAAATAAATTATTGTAATGGTACCTTAAAGTGGTCTGTTTTTCATTAAATATTAGCTCTGTTCTTCACATTGAGCTCTCAGGATTTCATCCTCCTTGGATTTACCAATTCGGTTTACCAAATTCTTCATAACTTATATATATATATATATATATATATATATATATATATATATATTGCCCATATTTTGACAGCATGTTTTCATTAAGACATATCTCATTAAACAATTTAGATAAATTTTGTCTACTTATTTTTAATAGGATCCTCTCATAGTTACAAATTTCTTAGTATTCTTATTAAAGGAAGAGAGAAAATTACCATGTTGATGCATATTCATTTTATTCCAAGTATTTTCGACATTAGCACAATGTCATTATCAGTATTTTTTTTCAGCCAAAAATAAAAAAAACAAAATATTTAGACATTTCAATAATTTAGTTACCTCTTTTCACATTTACTTCATAAAATTTAAAAATTGTACAGTACATAACCTTAGCATTTTTCCCTTCACAAGTAAAAATTTAATTTTCAGATGGACACAATTTTTTGTCTTAGAAAAAAACAACACCCGAATGTTATTAAAGTTTAAAACTGCCCACAAGCATAACAAAATTCATTTGTGTGAAATGAAAAATATAAAATGGCGACAATTTACCAATCGCCCCCCCCCCACACACACACACACAGGGATTCCTCAAAAATTGCCAAGAAAAATGATATGGAATAGTATATGTGTGTGTATATTAGCTATGTCAACATGTCTGTGAGGGTCAGTCGTGCCATCATGTCTCCCTTTTCATTTGCAATGCAACACCAAAATTTGAAGCTGCAGTTTGATAGACAGGATGCCCTCCAAAAGCTAAGCAAAGTATTAAGAAACAGAAAGATTTTATTAGAAACAAAGGAAAGAGTACTGAACTGTTATATAATATCGGCCATCCTGTATGGCAGTGAATGCTGAACAATCTCATCATAGATGGGTAAGTGATTTGAGGCAGCAAAAATATGGTTCTACAGAAGGATGTTGAGAATACATGGATGGAAGATGCGAGAAAAAACAGGGTTTTAAGGAAAATGGAAACAAAAATGACACTTGACATCAGAAAGAGATAGCTGAAATTTCTAGGGCACATAAAGAAGAAAGAGAGCTTAGTAAATTCGACACACACAGGATATATTAAAGGTGAAAGGGACAAAGTAAAGCAGTGAATAACCTACCTAATGAGCTTGTATAAATCATTGGCAGAACAGGGATTAGGAGAGATAGCAAAAAGACAAAATTTACTAAGAGCTAAAAAGGATGGGAAATTGTGGAGAACCATGATCACCCAATTCCTGAAGGGACACAGCACATAGAAGAACCTTGACTGAAACAAAATATGAATTTTGTTATGCTTGTGCGCAGTTCTAAACTTTAATAGCATTCGGACTTATTTTATAATGTGGACCTTTTGTTTCATGCTTTGCTGAATGTCACTCTTAATTTAGTCTGTTTCTGTTGGTCTGTCTCTGGCGAGCCTGCTTTGGATCAATCCTGTGTACCCACATTGGATTTCAGTATCTGCAGGAATATCAGTGAAGAACTGTCAAAGATCAGGCTTGACTCCTCTTTGTCCTGGCTATGCTTGTGAAAAACTAAAATCACTGCTGTCACCAGTAAACTTCAACCACACTCATTAACCAGTGTAAAAATAACAATTTTTATTTATGGTACTATGATTGACTAAGATCATGAATTCACAAACAAAAGGGATTTGAAGATGTTTCCCCATATAAGGAATTCTTAAGCTGGGAAAAAGGTTGACTGTTGGTTGACATTGTGGTTAAACAGCCCAGAGTCATTCAACTATTTAGATGAAAGCAGCTGATCAATGGAGTTCAAAAAGAAGTGTAGTAAACAGGTATTCAGCTGATTGAGATACGACAGTCATCCAGCAGGGAGAGTGTTGGTCTACTAGCTTTGAGACCAGTTTGATTTTACTTCTGCTCTTTCAGTAACTGCTTTTTTAGGAGTGAAAACACCAATTGCACTGCTCTGATTGGCTAGCCAATAATAATGCTTAACCAAAACTCTTGTATTATACGTCATGGAGAGGAGTAAGGAAAGTTCCCCAAAAACCCAATATGATTGATGGTCCAATCAAAATAATGGCCCTGTGTCATAAACATTGGAGAGGGAGACAAGAAGCTTCATCTCAGCCCTTCTCTCATTGGTGAGCCAATCAAAATTGTGGCTTTGTATCACTCATATCCATCTTCAGTGAAACATCTTCCATGTTCCAGAGTCTCACCCTCATTTGACCAGATTATCACAGGTGTCATCGTCACCTCCATCTGACAGTGTATCATATCCCTGATTTAAAACAAATCTGACCTGTGAAGATTTACTTTGTGTCGCTCATTTCAACTAATAATTCCATTATCAAATTAAAACAACACTCGTGTTCAAGACCTAAGACTGTACCTAACAACCAATCCCACCTAAGCTTACAATTTCACTCCCCCCCCTCACACTACATCCCATCAGTGACACAAACCAGAAAATTCATGGTATCGCATTGTTTTAACATGTGAAATATTTTTCTTTGTTTATGAATAAAAATTAGATCGCCAGTCAACCTTTGACACCAGTCATGGTGTGATAATGAATATGACAATGAACTTGGTGCTTAAAGAACAAACAAAATCAATTTAAATTGAAATTTATTCACAGCCGTTTCTATATACATATTTATAAAAGAGATTTCAACATCCCTGAGTATATTGCAACATGAACCACCATGTAATGTCGAGAGGGAATTAATGCAGTTCACTTGGGAGAAGCGATCAACAAATCATACTGGACTAAGAAAGAATGAGATGATGCATAAAACTGGATGGATATTCTGGTGTTAAAAGATGAAAGGGTGGCTGAAGCAGCAGCAGAAGAAAAATGCCTTTTTAAGCATCTCTGTAGAATTACACATAAACAGGAACAACATCTGGTGGAAGATGCCAAACAAAGTCATCAAACTGTGGAAAAAAAAAAAAGTTAAAATGCTTTAAACAGAAAAAATCATTTAAATTCAATGGCTTACCAGATCAGATTTAAGATAAATATCAGCTATTCCTATCTTGCAGCTCTTTTGCGTTTGTGAAAATGCACATAGTTTTTATAAAGAACTTTACTCCCTTGTAAATACCATTCTTCCAGTTATCCAGATTAATATTAAGTGGTCACTGACTTCTCTACAGAATCTTTAAAATGTCTATTCAGTTTATGTTGTGGTCTTTTAGCTTCCTTGATCTGTTCATACAGTAGTTGTTTTGGTAGGCACTTGTCCTTTCAGACCAAATGATCCATCCAATGTCCCCCTTTGATTTTGTATATATAAAACAGAAATCAATACTTTTAAATGATACCTTATTCCTTTATAATGGGAATTTTGATTTTAAGAAATACCATATTAATCACTATATCTTTTATGGTACTTGATAAATAATTCAATGGTAATAAAACAAATATAATAAAAAAAATGAAATCTAAAAAAAACAATCAAAAAAGAAATCTAAGGAAAAAAAGAAATCAGAGAAAAAACAAAGAAATCTAAGAAAAATAAAAAAATCTATCTGTCTATATTTCTGAGATGAGGTATTATGTACATTATTTACATTATTCGGACTATTGTCCTCATCTTTGTCGTCATATTTATTACAACGTTTCGGCCTTTCAGTATCTGTCTATATTTCTGAGATGAGGTATTATGTACACTATTTACATTATTCAGACTATTGTCTTCATATTTGTTGCCATTGTGCCATGTGTACCTTGAGGACATCTGTGTATGAATTTCTGGGTATTATGGTTGCTGAAGACATTAGGTTTATAATACCCAGAAATTCATACACAGATGTCCTCAAGGACAAAGGTGTTGGTTAGGTCCAGTGACAGGACTCAAAGACTGTGAGTTCAATACCTGGTTAAGGCAGTGGAGAACTTGGAGAGGGGAATAACAGGAGATAACTGACATCCATCAAACATGGCACGTGGAACTAGAACAGTCTAAAGGGTTCAGTTCGAAATTCCAACCACCAGAAGAAGGCTGGAGCATACAACGTTGTAATAAATATGGCAACAAAGATGAGGACAATAGTCTGAATAATGTAAATAGTGTAAAAAAATCTATGAAAAGTAAAAAATATCTAAGGAAAATAAAAAACCTCAAAAATAGAAAATCTTAAGAAAAATAAGAAGAAATCTAAGAAAATATTAAAGAAAAAATTTTAAAAGTCTAAAAATATGGCAAAAAAAATCTAAGAAAATTATTAGTTATTACTTATTTTTCTTTAATCTTTTTTAATCAAAGAAAAATATCCAAATAAAAATCTAAGAAAAATAACACAAAAAGTCTAAGAAAAAAAAAAAATTAACAAAAATAAAAATCTTTGGAAAATAGCCCCCCAAAAATATTGTCATGCAGCAATATGGATTTGGCCAAATGTTTAATGGTTTGGAAAGCAGAATAAAAGATAAAAAGATTTCTTGTTTGTTTAAGTTTACCAATCTGAATATATACATGTTTTTTTTTTTAGCCAAGAGATGAAAAATAAAAGCATCTTACCTCACTGAATTCATTTAATGATCCATTGCACAAATAACTGTCTTCACTTTCTACAGGGACATCAAAAAAATCTGGAGGAACTACATTTCTCAATGAGATCTGCAGAGAGAGAATTAATAAGTCAATAAAATCTACCAAAATTAAAATACATATATTTGTACTTTCGAATTTCAAAATATAACCTTGGTTGATTTATCAAGGAGGTGACTCCTTGATGTTATTGACCTGGGGAGGTGATCCTAGCATATGGCACCCTTGGGAAGTTTCCAAAAAACATGCCATAGATTGACATCCAAGGCATGTGATTAGAACTGGATAAAAAAAAAAAAAAAAAAAAAGAAGTATCTGAAAGCACAAAGTCACAAGTCATTGTGACCGAGGGTTTGAGTGTACTGGCCTTGTTCAAAGTGCTGATCCTATCAGATTATGCATTCTCTTCCAGAAACTGTAACTATGGTCTTCTCAGCATAGTTGCACTATAAAAATGGTGGGTTCTGTGGGTGTTGATCAAACACAAATGTGCCTGAGCAGACGTCTGCAACAGGGATTGGCTAGCCACTTGAGCAGATGAGTGGGTTTTGGAAATGAGTAAATGGCCATTATTATTGTAAGGGTTCAAATATTGAAAGATGTTGCAAATGTTTTAAAAGCGGGAAATTTTGTGTCGTTTTTGTAGAAGTAATCTTTAAACCATGTTAACAGTTGGAACGTCTTTTTAAAGAGTTTTGAAAATTTCTCTATTGAATTTATGATGAAAGAAAAGAAGAACAGCTATTTGAAGTTCATAGTTTGAAGAAATTGTTTTGTTAAAATTACACCTTTAAGTGTCGACTCTAGGTGCATTGTCAGTGTTGTTGCTCCCATGTCACTAGAAGTTTCGGGTCTAAATAAACAACAGACTTCTTTGATGGGTGACCCGACCAAATATGATCAGTATTCAGCCCGTACCCAGAGTAAATTTGCTACTAGCTTTAGGCTATGCTTTATATAAATTCCTCCAGAAAACGGCAACTAGTCAAGTCTACACTTGGGATATTCAATGTTATGAATTGAGTAATTGGTTGTACTGATTTTCCTACATGCGGTCATGACAGGGTGTTTTTTAAGAAGAAGAAGAAAAAAAAAAAAAAAATCAAACCAATGAATATATACATTAATAAAATAAAAACAAAATCAGAGTTATTATATTGGCTCGTCTTACAACTTTTCTTTCTCTTCACCCCCCCTTTTAAATTCTTTATTATTTCTTATTTGTCCGATCTTTTTTCTCTTTTTATACCTTTCCTTTTTATTCTTAACTACACTTTAAAAACGTTTAAAATAGAGTGATTAAAATGACTTACTCAGACTATTTACAAAAAATCTAAAATACAGTATTAATAATTTGGGATATTGATTGATAAACTAAGAAATTTCATTTAAAAACTAAGAGAAATAACATTCATTTAACTAAAATTGCTTAAAATAAATTAATCAAGATCTGGATAAAAAAAAAAAAAAAAAGTATTCGAAAGCTCTCAATGATTGTGCTAGCACAAAGTCACAAGTCATTGTGACCGAGGGTTTGAGTGTACTGGCCTTGTTCAAAGTGCTGATCCTATCAGATTATTCATTCTCTTCCAGAAACTGTAACTATGTTTTATACTAGTTAAAAAAGAAAACTAATAACATGTAAATTTTATTTAAAACTAAAATAAATTACTCCTAAAAATTATCCTTAATGAACAACTGATTGAAAGAACGAGTAAATACAAAAAAAAAAAAATGAAAAATGGGTAATTACGAAAAAAAAAAAAAAAATTGCGAGAAAAGAAAAGGAAAGATTACGTGTAAAAATATTTTGTGTAAAAATATTTTGTGTAATAAAATGAATCTACTTGAATGAACAGTAAAATGTAAAGATGAAGTCATTGAACATTCAGTTGCATGTAAGTAACGTCATCATGCAACTCAAATAAGTTATTTAAAAACCCTGTCATTTCTCTGAAGCTTTTCACCATCTATATATAACAAATCTATATACACTTTTAAGCCTTAAAAAAAAAAAAGAAATGAGAGGAACATTGGTTTATCTTTTGGCAAACATGGATAAACGTGCCTGCAATAAGATGTAATATCAAAAGGACATTTTTTCCATGACATTGCTTTTTTAACGACCTTCACTCTTCAGCAATGTTTAGTGTCTTAAAAAGTGACGATTAGAATTGGGATAAAACCTAAACATATGATGAAAGTGAAATTATACATTCTTTGTTCTTGAGAACTTACAACAAAAATATTAAACACTATTTATTTATTAGATTTTTTATTTACAAGAATAATTTTATATCTAAAACATTCTAAAAATTAATACAATTAGAACTAATGCAATATTTATCATTTACCAAATTATAAAGAAATAAATGTGAAAACAATTTTTGATTCATAAATTTATAAACATTTGCTAAGTTATTAAAATACAGTGTAACCCGGATATAAGAGAGTTGTCGGGAGGAGAAGAAGTCTTGTATCCGGGTTTCTCTTATATCCGGGACTTTGGAGAAGAAAATCTCTCTTATATCCGTTTCTCTTATATCCGGGTTTATCCGGGTTTACATTAACACAGGCTCTATATCCGGGTTTGGTCTATTTTATATACATTAACACAGGCTCTAATTTGGGAATTTGGGACCAGAGAAAATCCGGGTTTCTCTTATATCCGGGTTTGGTCTAATTTATATACATTAACACAGGTTAATTTGGGACCAGAACAATCTCTATATCCGGGTTACACTGTATATGAACCAACAATAAGGAAATCCTTATTATTTATAAAGTTTGAATCAATTGTCAATTAGCCAATGTTTTGCCAACCATTTGAATAAATAATATAATAAATCAATAGTGTAAATAAACAATCTAATAAATAGTGTTTATTATTTTTGTTGTAAATTCTCAAGAACAAAGAAAATATATAAATTTAATTTCATATGTTTAGGTTTTTATTACAATTCTAATCATCGCTTTTTAGAGGAATAAACATTGTCAAAGAGTGAAGGTAGTTAAAAAAGTGGTGTCATGTAAAAAAAACCATCATTTTGACACTATGTTTTATTGCAGGCATGTTTCTCCATGTTTTCCAATCTTTTTTTTATTTTATTCTACATGAGTCAGCCTATTCAAAAGTTATAAGCACAACAAATTATGAGGATCCAGTGAAAAGTGGATGGAAGCAGACATGATGTTTCAAGTGGATTAACTTTGAGATACAAGTAAAATAAAAAAAAAAATTCTTACCTGTTTTTCTATTAAAGCATTAAAATCAATGCCTTTAAAAAATGGAAGGTTTTGTAGTGAAAAGAGATCTGTAAGTCGTCGATTAGGACATTTTGTTAATAACTGGAGAAAAAGAAAAGAGAGAACGCATAGAAAAGTATGTAAATAAACCGTATATAAAAAAAAAGAGAGATCTGTAGGTCATCAATTTGAATATTTCGTCAATAACTGGAGAAAGAAAGAAATAACCACAAAAACAAGGAAAATCTGAAAGGGCATTTTGCCAATAAATGAAAAAAAAAAAAAAATAGAAAAACTTTAAAAAATGTTTAAAATAACTAGAAAATATAAAGAAAGAGATATGTCAATAACTGGAGAAAGAAAAAAATGACCATGAAACAACATAAAAGAAATATACAACAAAAATATCTCCAACAAGGTCAAAATGGTAGCCAATATCCCAAATGACCTCAAATCCATTGTTAACTAGGGCAAAAGATGGCTTGCCTCCAAAACTAAACTTCTCCCCATTAATCATATGCAAGACTCCTCTCTACCTTCCATCAGCATGGTTGATGATAACCTCCAGGAAAGTGACTTGTTGTGCCTTCTTAGGCTAATGTTCTCAGCTGGCATGAAGTGGAAAGACTATATTGAATCCATGGCTAGGTCAGCTGCTAAGGTCAGTTCACTGTGTTCTGCAAGACAATTTTTCTCTTCAGAATCTATCTTACATATCTATAAGTCTACCATTCATCCATACTTAGAATATTGCTGCCACATATGGTCCGGTGCCCCTGCTGTTTACCTTGGGCTCCTTGATAAGATCCAAAGAAGAATCAGCAATATTATTGGTCCTGATCTTGGTTATATATATATATATATATATATATATATATATATATATATATATAATAGACAAATTTTATTTGTATTTTTAATACTACCACACATGATTATAATTTTAAAAAAAAATGAAGAATGAGTTAGCTAACTGGTCATATAGCTTGTTGTGCTATACTATTTAGCTACAGAGGAAGCATCTGGTTAGCAAAGTCGAATTACTGCTTTTAAACTACAAATTTCCCATAATTTCTCTTGAATGCTCATATCTACTCAAAGTGTATCTTAATATAAACAGATGATGTTATATATTATGAAATGGACTAAGTCTATAAGTTTATAATTTGTTTTTTTTTGTAGTTTAAAAGCAGTAATTCGACCTTGCTAACCAGATGCTTCCTCTGTAGCGAAATGAAGTCAGGCTATATGACAGTTCTGTGTAAGATACAGGTTCAGTTCTTGTCAGAAGACATATTTTCAATAAAGTTTCTCGGACATTCAGGCCGGTAAATGCTGTTTACTTAAATATTTGTATCTATAAAAATAACATACATAAATACATACACACACACACACACACATATATATTATATATATATATATATATATATATATACACACACACACAATAGGCCAAGTTTGGTACAATCATCAGGATTTTGAAGAATCACCAAGAAATTGAAGATTGTATGTCTTTTTCAAAATTAATTTACTAACTCACTGTCAGGCAGAAGTACTTTCACTTCCTGAAGAGTTTTATCATCATATATTTAGTAATAAAAACAAAATTAATGCTACATTATATATATATATATATATATATATATATATATATATATATATATATATATATATATAAGGTGTTCCAAAACATCACATTAGAAATTAAATAACCTTTCTATTCTTTAAAAATTTATCTTTTTTATTTTGGGAATTTACATTACTTTTCTGGAATGACCCCTGGAAAACTTCATGTATATGGAAATGGCATCTCCTATACATTCACTTCCATAAAGGAGATTAGATATTATATACCAGTTTGGAACTCTTCTTTTTTTCTAAGAATATTTTCTCTCAAAGGCATCTTTTGCTATTTCAATGTGCCATTAGATTTCTATATTACATTCAACTAAGAAGTGCATTGCTCATGCTTCAAGGCCAAGAGACAACCTTTAGCTTCCATGATTTCAAAATTGAATTGTTAATTTTGAAATATTACATATATGCAAAGAAAGTAAAAGTTTTGAAATGAGGCTTGTTTGTGAGCTGTAATAAGAAGAAAATTATGATGGGACTTACCCGGCTAACTACAGCCTGGCATTTCTCTGAAATATACGTTGGTAACAAGTATTCACACTCAGATACAAGGCTGGCCATTTCAAAATGATTTGCTGCACCATCAACTGGATACTAAAGATGACAACAATAGAAAAATTTTCAAATAAGAGAAAATTAAGTAATTATTATAAACTGTGATTTGTGCTGTATATTTCTTTATAGCAATATCCATAACATCTGTCATTCTAAAGCAAACTGATATATAAAATGGAAAGCCGTATAATAATGATAATAATAATCGTATACAAAATTGCAATAATAATAATAGACTTTATTGATTTAAGTGCATTACTAGATTGGTGGCTAGGTCTCATCATTTTACTGTTAAAATGGATAGATGTAATTCTAAGTTAAAGTTACTACCTCAGAATTAATTTAGTTTCAATTTATTACTCTAAATTTATCAATTTCCAAGTTATTAGTCCAAAATTTATTCATTTTCAATTTATTAACAAATATTTATTTATTTATTTTCAAGTTATTACCCCACAAAATTATTCATTTTCAAGTTATTACCCCACAAAATTATTCATTTTCAAGTTATTACCCCAAAATTTATTCATTTTCAAGCTATTATTCCAAAATTTATTCATTTTAAATTCATTAATCCAAAATCTATTTATTTTTAATTTATTACCAAACATTTATTTATTTTCAATTTATTAACAAATATTTATTTATTTTCAAGTGATTACTCCAAAATTTATTCATTTCAAGTTACTACCCCAAAATTTATTCATTTTCAAGTTATTACCCCAAAATTTATTCATTTTCAAGTTATTACCCCAAAATTTATTCATTTTCAAGTTATTACCCCAAAATTTATTCATTTCCAAGTTATTACCCCAAAATTTATTCATTTTCAAGTTATTACCCCTTTAGCATCCTGCTGCCACTTTTCTATCAATGTCAATTTTTGTGCAAATCTGTGCAAAAAGTGGATCACAGAGATTTGATATTTTTCTTACTTCTCATTAGTCAGTTAATTTTAAAATCATGTTTTTGCCTACGTGTTATTCAAAACCATTTTTCCACCAAAAATCAGAAATGCTTTCCACAGCTGATCACGTGGTTACATTTATTATAAATACTAGACACAAGTTCTTTATTCCTCTTTTTGATTTCTCTCGCTTACTAAAATGTAGCTGTTTAAGAAATCACGTTCTCACCTCTTTCGGGGTGAACGCTATGAAAACATATTCACATATATATGGAAACTTAATTACAAACATTACAGAATATTACAAGCATCAACATATTACGAATATTCAACTACAAGCAACGGAAACTACAATTAACAGAAACTTAATTACAAACATTACAGAACATTCACTCCAACTCTTTTGAAGCTAAAAGTTTATCAATATATTTTCAGCTTTACAGAATTCTTTCAACTCTTTCACAGTGAACATTTTGAGTGACAAGTTCATTCAACTTTCTATGAGCTCAAATAAAAATATTTCCTTAGTAACAACTTTAATTTCAGTCGAAGGGAAGTAACTCTTATTAATTATGCTTGCATATCTTTGACATACATAAATATGAATATTCTTGTTATAAAACCGTTTTGTGTTCCTTCTTATTGTTTCATATTTTGTGGTATTTTGTGTAAATATAAATTCGAGATGTCACACTAACTAACCGACCTCTACACCCCAATATTTATTCATTTTTAAGTTATTACCAAATATTAATTCATCATTGCTATTAACCTACTGAACCAGTATTTACCAAGCCAAGGCAGTGGTGTCTAATCAGCAAAAAGAATTACACAGCTTAACATGTTTTTTGTTTGATTTGTTTTCTACAGCTTATCAACCCTTTGCAGGTTATTTAAAGCCAGAAAATATTTTTAGATTGTAAGAATTTTTTTCAGATAATCATGATTTACTGATACAAGTATTACTTATTCATCCATAGATGTAGGGAAAAAAGGTGGATTCATATCTAATCAGAAATTGATAAACAAACAAGAAATTATAATGTGGATATAAAGTGGGGGATCAATTCTAGTTTACAAACAATACATAAACTGATCACTCACTTTGTTGCCAAGGAAGTTTCCATAATTTACTTTTACAAGTATTACTAATTCACCCATAGATGGGCGAAAAGAGGTGGATTCATATCTAATCAGAAACTGATAAACAAACAAATTTTAATGTGGATATAAAGTGGGGGATGAATTCTGTATTACAAACAATACATAAACTGATCACTCACTTTATGTCCAATGAAGTCTCTATACACTTATATTCCAGAAAATGTAAATAAGTCTAAAAGTCATGTCTCTGTAGCTAATTAGTTTTTCATTGATTGATTGATTTGTTTTCTACAGCTTATCAACCTTTTGCAGGTTATTTAAAGCCAGAAAATATTTTTAGATTGTAAGAATTTTTATGACATAATAATGGTTTTGTGATACAAGTCTTACTAATTAACCCATAGCTGGGGTGAGAAGAGTTGGATTCATACCTTTTCCAAGGGTATGTAAGTGAATACAACGAACCCAACGGGAATTAGAACTTGGCTCTCTGATTAAAAATTCCAAGCCTTTATCCATTACACTACCCACACATCCAAGCTTACAGCACCTGATATTATCAAGCAGCCACTCATCTAGGTACTGACTGAGCTCAATGTTGCTTAACTTTAGTGATCATAGAGGAACCAGTGTTTCCATGTGATGTCGCCGTAAGTCTTCATGGCTTAACATGAAAGTAGGATAAGGCTGTTCATATGAGCTACTTTGTACTGGCCATTTTGTTCTTCAATGCCAATTTGCTTTGTTACATTTTTAAAATCATGAAATTTTTCCAAAGATGGACTATTGGCAACTGGTCAGGTTTTATGGTTTGAAATGTGACAGGGAAAAGGTAGAAAATTAAGAACTTACTTCTCCAGTTAGCATTGTGTACATGAGAACTCCTAGTGACCACCAGTCTGCAGTGTGACCATACGCCACCACTGAAAGAACCTCAGGGGCTGCAATGAAAATTTTTGAACCAAAAGGATAAAATTTGTACATTTTCAGATACATACATAGAGATAGAAATATATTACTATTGGTACTGATCTTACTTATTATAAAACGCAGATTGTGTGTGTGTGTGTGTGTGTGTGTGTGTGTGTCTGTACATTTATATATTGGGTTGGATTTCCTACATTTTTCAACCGATTTCAACAAAACTTCACAGGACTACATAAAATTACCTTGCGGTGGTTGTGACAGCGCCAAAAATGGGAAAAACACAATTGTTTTTGCACAAAATCAATTTGAAAACACGATAAAACACGATTCTGTTGCCAAAATGAAAGGGGGACAACTCATATCGAGTTATACTTATTATAAAAACCCAGTGTGTGTGTGTGTGTGTGTGTGTGTGTGTGTGTGTGTGTTCATTTATATGTGGGATCGGATTTCCTACATTTTCAAACCGATTTCAAACAAAACTTCACTTTTTTTTTTTGGCAGGTAGTGTTTCTGATTGTCTTGCACACTTTTTTCTTTATTTTTACATTCAGAATGCTTTAAAAATTCCATTTACAAGACAATTGTTTATAATAAAATTCTATTCAATCGGTAGACTCATAACGATTGAAAACAATGTTTTTGTTTGAGTTTGGGTTTGACCAATTCGTAAAAAAAAATTAAGACATGCATGTCCGTCAGCCTTAAACATACAGAAACGCACACACACACAATCTGCGTTTTATAATAAGTAAGTTATGAATTAAAACAAATTACTGTTCATGTATTCAACTTTAAAAATCCATTGACATTTTCTGTTGCTATTAAATTTGCAAACCCCCTCTGTAAAAAATAATATATATGAATGTATATGTACTAATATGGAAAAGAATGAAGATTTTCAATATACCCAGCATAAGAGCAAAATTGTCCAAATCATGTAACAGCAAAATTGTCCAATTGTTAGATTAAGCTCTAACTTGTATCTTAGAAATGATTAAAGATATCTTACTGGAATTCTCCAAGGTTGTTATAACACTAGTGGACTCTACTTTGAGCAATAAGAATGCATAATTACTTTCTAAGTTTAACAGAAGTATCATGATGAAATCAATCAAAAAATGAAAATGACATGTTCATCATTAATTAATAATAGCTAAGGATTAGAAGCTCAGGAAACAAAGTTCAAATATATATATATATATATATATATATATATAAATATATAAATATATATATATAAAAATATATAAAAATATATATATATATATATATATATATATATATATATATATATATATATATATATGTGTGTGTGTGTGTGTATGTATATATATTTGGATGTGTTTGTGCATGTATATGTCTACATGGTGAATTTACGTTTGCATGTTTTTTGTTGTTTTTTTTATGTGTATGCGTATGTTTGTATATGTGTTGGTATATATATATGTTTGTGTACTTAGTTTATATGCGCTTGTGTATGCTTGTATATGTATATTTAAATATGTATATATGTGTATTTGTATTTATGTGCATGTATGTGTATATATATTTGGGTTGATATATTTACACTTGCTTCTGTATGTGTATGTGTGTATGAGTATATATATATATATATATATATATATATATATATATATATATATAAATATGTGTGTGTGTGTGTGTGTGTGGATGTATGTAGACATATTTCTGTGTATAATTGTATATATGTATGTACGTATGACTGTACCCTTATTTCTGTAGGTAGTTCTTTTTATCTTATTTTCCTTCACCTAATATATAATAAAACTATTATCAACTTATCTGATTAAAATATATGTTTTTATAGATATTTGTGGGTTTCGAATTTTCATTTTAATATATCAAATAATATTATTTTTAACCATTTTTATCTTTGTATATTTGCTCGCTTAAGTTATATTTTAATAAGTGGTTAGCATTTGTTTAATGACACTTTCAGTCTTAAATATTTATTGGTTGTGGTATCTGATTGTCTAGGTCAATGTCTGTGAATGTGTGTACATGTATTTATCGGTGTCTATGTGTATGGAAAGTGCATTCACTTTTAATTGTGTATGTATGTGTTGGTTTCCCCCCTCCCTTTTTTTCCATTCATAAAGGGCCGAGGAGATGTTCCCTGTTTCATCACTTTTTTTTTGTATATATATATATATCTAAATATGTCTGGGTGCTTATGTATTATAATCTGATTGTGTTGTTTTACGCATGAGGTTAGGACTCCATTCACACACTTGGGATTAAAATGTATACATATATTGTCAGAGGACCGGATGACATATTAGCGTCTATTCTAACATAATTTCAATGAAGAAATAACTTGAATAACATATGTATTTCTTCTTTTCTCCTCAGTAATTTTATAATTTTGAACTTAATAGTGATTTAATTTTGGATTTTAAAATGGCAATTTTTAATTTTAATATCAAATTTTACCATATAATTTAATAATTATTGGTTAGAATAAATTCTTTTTTAATATTACACATATTTTAAAGATCTGAATAGCTATAACATGATTTCGTTGTCAAGCTTTTGAATCTTCCTATACTTGAGTTTTGATTGGTCATTCTAGCTTTTGTAACAATGTTTTACCCTAGCGAAGGATTGTTAATTAATTTGAAACTTTTAAAACCATTTATTTTACATTCAACATCATTACTTGATAAGACACTGGAGGTGTTGAAACAAAATGGCTATTTTTGTAGTGATTTTATAACATATTTATGTTATAATTTTTTAAAAATAAATAATTATATCTGCTCTACTCTGTATTGAGCACTCTTTTAAGAATAGTAATTGTTGGTTATTGGAATTCATTCAGTATACACCAATTATATCCTTGGATATATATTATATATATATTATTCCAGCGTCATTTTCTAACTTATTCAAGATAATCTTCAACATCTCTAACATTCTTACTTTTTATCTTGGTGTAACAAGTTATCTCACAGGTTTCATGTAGGATTTCATTTTCAAGTTTTTTTTCACTGCTCTTTAGACCGTCATAGCTGAAACTCCTTCCTCATGTGCCAAATATTTTATGGAATGAGGTGGATCTTTCCTAATTGGGCTCTTTAGCTCTAAGTTGAAATGATGACCCTTCTTCCTGTTGTGGCCTCCTGATCCAGTTTTTTCTCTACTGTTCCATTTTTTAAGATTTATTTGCCGTTGTTTGCGTGGTTCTTGAATGGAATGGCAGCCAGAGTATGAATGTTGATACCATTACTGAATGATCTTTTTCCTCACAACATTGCTCATTTAGAAAGACAATGGCTCTGACACAAAACGATTTTAAACTATTTTCTTTCTAGCTGAATAGCTCAAAAGATTTTTCATGATTAAATGATTAAACATATCTTACTGGAATTCTCCGAGATTTTTATAATACTATCGGACTGTTCAATAAGAATGTATAATTACTCTTAACAGAAGAATCATGATAAAATCGATCATAAACAAAACTGACATGTTCATCATTAATTAATGATTAATCATAGCTAAGTATCGGAAGCACATGAAGTTAATTCCAGGATTACTTCCCATCTTATTCGAGATGACCTTTGCCCTCTCTAACATTCTAACTTTCTGCCCTGGAGTAACAAAGGTACTCTCACGTTTCATGTACAATTTCATTTTCAAGTTTTTTTTCACTGCTCTTTAGACTGTCATAGCTGAAAATCCTTCCTCATGTGCCAAATATTTTATGGAATGAGGTGGATCTTTCCTAATTGGGCTCTTTAGCTCTAAGTTAAATAACGACCCCTTTTCCTGTTGTAACCTCCTGATCCAGTTTTCCTCTCTAACATCCCCCCCTTTTTTTTAAATTTATTCACTGTTCTCTTGATGGTTCTTGAATGCACTTTGAAGATGGAAGCCAGAGTATGAATGTTAGTACTATTATTGAAGGCCTGAATGATCTTTTTCCTCTCACCATTGCTCAATTGAGAAGACTGGGGCTGATAATGATTTTAACCCATTCTCTTTCTAGATGAATAACTCAAAGGGTTTTCCAGTGATTCTTACGACAAATGGTATCAAGATGTCTAAACATCGTATATGAAAACCTGGCAAAAAGAAACTCAGTCAGTTTAGTGGTTTTTTAGATATTAAACCTTTTTTGGATGGATAATTATGCTGTTACATCATTTGGACAATTTTGATGTTACACCCGGTATATAGACATTATTTGGAATGCACCTTTTGAGTTGACAATCTTGGAAAGTGTGGGAGGGGGGATTCTGATGCATGGTGAAAAGTGAGCACTGAGCAAAAAAGGCTGAGAACCACTGTGATAGAGGTTCTTTAATGAAAGGCATGAACCTGTATTTCCCTGTATCATCACTCGCATGCACTGATGGCTGATGGAGACCAGTGTGGATAATTGAGCACTTAGGTAAATCACTCCCCCCATAAATACGTTGCCTGCCCAAGTAGTAGCATAAAAAAAAAGAGGTTACACTCATATGATGACCTTGACAAGAGTAGGAAATAGTTCTGTAAAACAATTATCCCATTGTACTTACCCATGTACTGTAATGTCCCGCATACAGTTCGAGTTTTTTCCCCATAAGTTAGCCATTTCGCCAGTCCAAAATCTGTTATCTGGGTATGACCTGACAGGATAAAAAAAAAAAAAAAAAAAATGACAACCTGTCTAACCAGTTCTGGCAACCAGTCTAAGAGAATGAAAATTGAATTCAAACAAATTGACTATACCGTCATAAATTGTGGAAAGAGCAATACAAGTTTTAGCTTTATCTGATAGATACATCTCCATTGGGAAAATAGTGTACAACTTTATTCCAATGGTTAGGACAGTCAGTCAAAAAACAGAAGAAAAAACTCAGTATCAGTTTTTAGCTTCTCATGGTGGATATATTTCCACCTTGAAAATCACCTACAGGCCTACCAAAAGGGTTATGGCAGCCAGTCAATTACTGGGTGGTTTTAGATTCTCATGATGGATGTCTAAATTGGGACAAGTGTTTGCGGCTCTTCCTAAAAGAGGCTATGACATGCTGTGCTTATATTTCATTATTAGGTGTCAAGATTCAAATGTATATTTTCCTAATAATAGACTGAGCATCATTACAACAGACAGCCAAAAAAGAAATGCTAGAATGTATGCAACTGAAAATACCGTGAAAAAAAAAAACCCCAAAAAACAGCAACAATGACAGGGTAACTAATGTTTCAGTGATGTCCTCCTGTACTGCTTACCTCATCAAGGTCAGAGAGCACAGTCTTCCCTACGATTTTACTCATAGTTGGAAGGAGAAGAGATATTTTCATGCTTTTCCCAAAGGAGTTAGTGCAAAATGAATGCTAATCGCCTCAACCAGAATTTGAACTTGACCTGCTGATTCAGTTTTCCGTTTTAATAAGCATAACATCAGCTGCTTGTCTTTTAACTGACATACTTACCAAACAGTATTATTAGTATATAGACCTATGAAAGTGTAGCCCAAGTGTAATGAAGTACGTGTACCAGTGAAATGATAACACAAAATTTGAATCTTCATTACTTAACATTTTATTTATTCCAATATTTCATCAGTTACTCTCAGCCAGTCAGTGATGTGAGCCTGTCACCATTATCTGGTGGACCTTACATTCACTGACTGTGATGTGTGAGAGACTGCCTAATCATCACTTGGGCATTTGTTCATGTAGCCTTATATACAACATCCTTGTTCTCATGCTTCAGATGCAGCTTTGAGGTCACATACTTCTGCATTAAGTGGCCTGAAGTAACCCCAGGTCAATCCCATGATGCACCTGGCATATTTAGATGATTTAGTGTGAAATGTGAGTGAAATATGTATTCCAGCATAAAATTACACTAGTGTATGCACAAAGAAACAAATACAGTATCATAATAAAAAGTGAGAGTTGCAGGTAAATTTTGCCAGACACTGTCATTCATAATATACCAATTCTAATTAGCACCAAGAAATTAAGGCAACAAATTTAAAATATACAAAAATAATAAAGAGAAAGATACTCACCATCAAAATCAAATAAAATATTTTCCATCTAAAAAAAAAAAAAAAAAAAAAATATGAATAAAAATTTTAAAAAATTATACATAAAATTATAACTGTGTTGGTGGATTCAACCATTTTCTTTTGAATCTGCCAACACAGTTATAATAACAATATTCTCCACATGTGACAATAACTGACGCTATTTTCAGTTAACAATATGAAAATCGCATTCTCTGCATTCCTCCAGTTGCTAAGAACATTCTGTTTTTTGTTATTATTAGTTACGTTCTTTAATTAAATTCATTTTGTTTCTTTTTGCTTTGAGAAAGTCCACATTGGATGAAATGAGTCAGCAATAACTACAGTTTTCCTATTGTCATTTATATTTATAAACATAAAATTATATAATTATATATATTTATTAAATTAATAAGTTGCATTAACATGGAGTAACAGCAAGGCTAGTATGGTTGATCACTACTACTGAGTAGAGAGTTTGATCCTCACTGGGTGACCCATATAAAATTCAACATTAAATAATACAAACAATGGTTGACATGTAAAATCAACTAACTAATTATTGTAGATGCCTCAGCTTGGTGTAATGGTTAGCAAAGCTAGTCTGGTTGACCATTAGTACTGAATTCTGAGTTCAATCCTCAAAAATCATTCTGCTGACTGTGGAAGGGATGCTGCTACAGTCAGCATCACCGTCTCATTTCAATGAACTGTTCCAGTAAGGGTCACTGTTCGGTAATGCAGACTTAGGTTCCGTGGAAAACCAGTGAGCACTAGTTAAATTAAGGACAAGATGAGATACTCTACAGGGGTCGGTAATTCAATCGACCCGGCGGGCCGGATCGTGTTATAATGACAGGTCACGGGCCAGACGAAGGCCATTAATGAAAAATTAAGGAAAATTACATATGCAGACTCCTGTCAACCTAAATATTTAAAACCATAATGAAAATAAACATTGAGAAATCAGAAAAACAAAAGAAAATCTAAAATTAAAAAACACCTAACAAAATTACTTTTGCTCAAGGAACGTCAAAATACTTCAAAGTGAAAAAAATCAACCGAAGTGAAATGGATGAAATTATGACGTGTAGGTTTGAAACTGTTATTGAAAATTGTTCCACAAACGAACCACACACATCAAACAAAAACAAAGCACATATATCCATACGTACGAGTACAAATAGTTGCAAACATATACACTTATGTACGTACACATGCGGTATCATCCACACATTCATGAGGCATGTATGTATAATGCGCGCGTTTGTTTAACTGTCTTTAGATTTCTGCTACCTCGCCTGTCAGTCCCTCCCTGGCCTGTTTCACTTTATCGTTCCTTTCGCTTCTGTTATCTTTTAATGTAGCCAAGGGTCTGAACAAATATGTATCCATTATTTGACATTAAACGTAGGCAATGCAACTTGGTAAAATAAGTCTCATGAAAGATAACTGGCAGATAGTCTAATATTTTTAGTGTACTGGGATGTGTAGACATTCTATGGAAAATGACATATAACAAATTTCATTTGAAGGTCGTCTCTCATGTTAAAAATAGTCATTGGTAATCAGGCTTGCAGGTTGGTCAAAATGCCTTCACGGGCTATATCCGGCCCGTGGGCCGCAGGTTGCTGACCCTTGCTCTAAGACACTGACAGCAAAACAAGAGCAATCTACTCCCAAAGATTAAATAAAGGGTTGTGTTTGAAATTCCCCAAAAGTTAATTGGATTGACAGGTGTCTGAAGGCTGGACAGCACAACAGCTGAAATTTTGTGATAATGACCAAAAAAAAGAGTTGACTGTAGTTAGGATCATCAAATCAATGTAAATGATCCTTTCCTTAGCTGTATAGCATGTGCTTCACCAGGGCTACACAAAGTTCTGAATTCAGAGTTTTTCTTCTCCTAGACTGGTTACCACTCGAGGCTATAGAACCCATAGCCGAGTGTGGGGGAGAATGTTGTATTCATTGCTTTCTGAAGAGAAAAAGGAGTTGGCCGTAGTCAGGATAATCGAGTCAATGTGAATGATCCTTTCCTTAGCTGCATATTATGTGCTTCACCAGGGCTACATACAGTTTGAAATTCAGAGTTTTCCTTCTCCTACACTGGTTACGACCCAAGGCTATAGAAACCAGTCTGTGCTACTATTTACCCATAGCTGGTGGGGTGGGAGAAGAGTTGGAATCATACCTTTCCCATGTAAGTGAATGTAATGAAGTTGACTGGAATTTGAACACGGCTCTCCAATTCCTCGATGTGAGCCGCAATCCATTACTCTACTGTGCCAACAAAGATAAGGATATTAATCCGAATGTAAATAATGATAACTCCTCAGATAGATCTTCCGTTTTATAGAGAAATGCTTTTCACTTACCTTCATGTCTCTGTAAATCACTCCTGATTTATGGAGATAACCTGTTAAATGATTAGACAATAATTGTAATTAGACAATGATTGAAATTTAATGAAGTCATAGAATTTGTTTTTAAAACAGTAAACTGAAATAGCATAATAAAATCTGTTTGAAATGATTGAAGACATGATAGGGAAATGAAATAAAAGAAAAAAATATTAACTTATTTATTTTAAATCATGGTGATTTTTATTTAATTGGTGCAAACCCAAACCAAAACTAAAAAATCTTCACTCCTAGGATTTGAGATAGATCTCCAGTACTTGGCAAGATATGCACAATGACTTGCTTTGAAATAAAGACTACAATATATAAAATCTTAGGTATTTAGATTATGATTACTGTAATGCATTTGGTCTTTATTTGGCACACCACACTGGGAGAGGCGTACAGCCATATCACGTGGAAACACTGGTTCTTTTGTATGATCAGTGAAGTTAAGCAAGATCAAGCCTGGTCAGCACCTAGAGGGGTGAATACCATGTACTGTAAGCTTGGATGTGTGGGAAGTGTAATGGATAATAGCTTGGAATTAGAAATCAGACAGCCGTGTTCCAATTCCAGTCAGGTTCATTATATTCATATTACGCACAAATGCCCTTGGGAAAGGTATGAATCTACCTCCTCCCTCTAGCTATGGATTAATTAGTAGAACCTGCATCAGTAAATCATTATTATCTCAAATAAAATTTTTACAGTCTAAAAATATTTTCTGGTTTTAAATAACTTGCAAAAAATTGATAAGTCGTATAAACAAATTAATCAATTAATCCCAGTTCAAGATGGCTCATTTGGTGCGTACACATGTGTGTGTGTGTGTGGGGGGACCTAAACTATCTTCAGAGTATGTTTATTATAAGCCCTGCCAATGGGGTAATAGTTAAAAATATTCATGAACTAGCAGAATATATGGATGACAATAGTAAATTCCACCAAGTATTCATTACTAGCAGGAGAGCCCAATGTTGCCTGGGGATGTAACAGTAAGAGATAGATCAAGTATTGACCATCATAAAGACCGAAAAATAAAATTGACAAAGATTATTGTTTAAGGTTGACAGACACGCATGTCTTAATTAGTATAACTCGATATGAGTTGTCCCCCTTTCATTCTGGTGACAGAATCGTGTTTTCAAATTGATTTTGTGCAAAAACAATTGTGTTTTTCCAATTTTTGGTGCTGTCAGAACCACCACAAGGTAATTTTATGCAGTCCTGTGAAGTTTTGTTGAAAAATGTAGGAAATCTGATCCAATATATAAACGTACAGACACACACACACACACACAATCTGCGTTTTATAATAAGTAAGATTGTGTATATAACAGCAAGCATCCTGGCCACCTGCTGGAAGTTTAAAGATAAATTGACAAGGGAGATAAGTCCAGCTAAAATATACATGTACATTCAGATAATTAATAATACTTGAAATATACATGAAAATTTCATGGTTTTCCTATTTTAAATTTTTGATAAATTTTAATTCTTAAGTTAATAATTGAATAAAATCATGGCAAGTTCTACGACAAAAATTATCTGCAGAAATTCCTCTATTGCATCATTAAATATTTGAGCTTAACAACTTTAACAAAATATTGCAACAGCAATCATAAATATGAACACTGGTTGTTATTTAAGAAGTAAGGGGGTACAAATGAAAAGATTTGAAATTAACAACTTTTCCCATTTCGATGTAACAAATGTTAAACACTTCTATATTCCCTTTCTTTCTTTCTTTCATTTTCGAACTGAAACCAAGTAGCATCTTTGATATATCTTTTCTGTCTTTCCATTCTTTATGAGGTATTGGCAAGAGGCAGTATACACTTCTATCTTTCCTCCTTTCTTTCATTTGCGCACTGGAACCAAATAGCGTCTCTGATATATCTTTTCTGTCTTTCCCGCACCAATCAAAATGAAATAGTTCATTATTTATGTGGTATTGGCAGGGCATAAAGGTCGTGCTAACAAAAGGATCACAAGCAGAATTATAATAAGATAGTAATTAGCAGCATAGCAATTGGGATCAGAATATTGAGTCTTGGTTGATGTTTACCCAAATATTCTTGGGGAAAGGTACGAATCTATTTCTTCACCATCCAGCTATCATCAGAGAATAGGTGTCTATCATGTCAGTAACTGTTGCATGACTTGCAAATCACCCCCTTGTAAATGCTGGGTGTGGCAGAGACACCTCTGACATAATGGTAAGACATTAGTGGCAATGTTGTCTTCATCTAAGCCACTGATGTCTTACTATTATGCGGGAGGTATTTCTGCCACACCTTTGTATTACAGCAAGCAAATAATTGTTTGCTGACTGCCATTGTGTAACAGTCCAAGTAAGTTGCAATAAAAAAAAAGAAAATGATTAAAGAAAATTCAAATTAATAACTAGCATAGTACCCATCAAAAATTGTGGCTATATTTTTATAAAGTTTATCACAGTGCAAGATATATGCAAAGATAGACATAGGATTAATTTATTGGATTTTTTTTTTTACAGCTTACCTTTTGTAGGTTATTTAAAGCCAAAGCATTTTAGATTCTAAAAATGATCTTTTTTTTTGTGAGTGAATATTATATTTTTGGGAGATGATGCTTTTCAGATAAAAGATTTACCATTTAACCCATAGCTGGGAGAGAAGAGGTGGATTCATGCTTTTCCCAAGAGTATTTGCATATAAGTGAATGTAACGATCTTGACTGGAATTCAAACTTGGCTCTCAGATTTCTCATTCCAAGCTGCTCTCCATTATACCATGCACACATTCAAGCATACGGCACCTGGTATTCCCCAGAAATCACCCATTTAAGTACTGACCCAGCTCATTGCTTAACTTCAAGAACTGGTGTTTCAACGTGATATGGAACTAAACCAAAATGCTAGGAATTGAACTTGTTTATAAGCAGAAGTGCCAATTCATATGTAGATAATCCTGTAATTTTTTTTTTTTTTTTTACAATTATAAATTTTTTTTTTTCATCATAAAAAGACAGTTGAAATTTCTAGGGCACTTAATGAGGAAAGAGCGCTTGGAAAATCTGATACTCACATGACAGATTGAAGGCAAGAGGGATAGAGGAAAACAACCTACCTAACAAGCTTGAGTAAATGGATGGCAGAACAGGGTTTAGACATGATAATGAAAATAGAAAATTTATTAAGCGCTACAAAGAACAGGAAGTTGGGGAGAGCCTTGATCGAAGAAGTTACTAGATTTATTAAACCCACAATACTCACTAATCACAACTGCCAGTTCAGCAATTTGATATTTGACTAGAGTTTCAGGGAAGTGTCCATGATAACTCCATAATGTGAACATGTCACCATAAGGGACAAATGTAAGCACTGCAACAAAAATAGAAGATAAAATGGATTAGATTCCAGACAAGCCAGACAAGACAAGACATAATTCACAAAACATTTTTCTCATATCAAAACAGAACAAAAATTATTACTTTATTTTACCCACCATCTAAATTGCATTTTTCAAAACTTCATCTAAAAATCTCCTTTTGCCTTATACCTTCATGGATGGGTTTTGCTTACAGGACTAATAACTTATGATCTTATACCAAAGGCAATACCTCTGGATTCACTTTTGTCATACCCAAATGGGTCAGTACTGGATTAACACTTAAACAACTGTTTAACAAATTAGTCCTTTGATGGCCTCAGAATTAAATATATATGATTATAAATGATTTAATTATGATTACAAATCAAAATAATGTTATATATATATATATATATATATATATATATATATGTGTGTGTGAAAATATATAGAAAATAGGAAAGAACTGGTTAGTAACACCCAACACTCCCCTACATATTTTGAAAAAAATTTTGCTTGAAGATGGAACAGAGCTTACTTTAATTCAAATAATTATATTGAAGTTTTCGCCTCTTGTTTTGAAACATGAGACCTCTTATGTCGCCAGTTGGAATCATATTTTTAAATAAATAATTATATATATATATATCCATGCCATGAAAATTGACAGCGAGAAGGAATGTATTATAAGTAATATGTATTATATTGTAAGTAATTTTCATTTAATCCAAGTACAATTTTGTAATTTAAAATAGTTTGTTGTTAATATTAATAATTAAACAGTGTATGATTGATAAACATCTAAGGAAAGACATCCATATTATCTCCTCATAAATGTTACATATTTACGACCAAAATTATGTTTACTGCAAAAGTTTCCAAGGCACAGTATTTTTTTGTATAAACTTTTGAAGGTCTGAGTAATCCATGACAGTCCACTGATTCAATATGTAATTTCAGAGTCTGCTTATTTCTCATCCTACTAAGCTCAACGTATCATCAGATATTTTCTTTAATTTATTTTTTGGGGTTCCCCACCTTCTTTTTATTTTTAATTATCATTTTTAAAGTTTAAAATCAGTTTCTAAACATGAAGAAAATGTTCTTGAAGATATATGTGGCGCATTATTTATATAAACCCTATTCGATAGTGATATCAGTACGCGTCAACAGAACCAATTTAGCATGGCACCGGGTGGGTCATTGTTATTTTGCACACTGTCCCTCAATTGTTATACAAAAAACCCCATATATATATGTGGTGTATTACATATATAGAAGATAATTTTTTGAATACATTGCTGATTCAGCTAATAAAGTTGGTTCACTGTGTCGTGCTAGATAATTTTTCTCTCTGGAATCTATCTTGTAAGTCTACCATTCGCCCATGCGTAGAATATTGCTGCCACATATGGCCCAATGCCCCTGCTCTGTACCTTGAGCTCCTTGATAAAATCCAAAGAAGAATCAGCAATATTATTGGTCCTGATCTGGCGGCTCAGTTTCAGTCACTTTTCCCACTGCCGTAATGTTGCCTCTCTTTGTGTGTTTTCTATAAATACTTTCATGGTAATTGTTCAGATAAGCTTTTTGCTATAGTACCTAGACTTCTTAAATTTAAGCTCAGTACAAGACTGGTATTATCTCATCAAATTATAGGTGAGCTGGCTAGATGTAGCCATAAATTCTATGCTAACAGTTTCTTTTCTCACACTTCTTGTTTGTGGAACTCTCTTCAAACTTCATGCTTTCCAGCCAACTTTAATCTGCAAAAATTTAAATGCAATGTCAATTGCTGTCTACTATCCTCCTGATTACTCTTTTCTCTTCCTGTTCATTATTAATGTTTCTGCTCCTAATTCTCCCAAACCCTGTAAGCCCCTGTGTCTCAATAGCTTTACTGCCTTGAAAGGTGGTATCAATAAAATTGTGTGTATATATATATATATATATATATATATACACATATACATATATGATAAAAATATAGTTTGAAGGTATTTTTTTTAAGCATTTCACTCCAAGCAAAGTGGGAGTGTCACAAGCACGCAAGAGGTTACAGAGAGTAGGAGTGAGAGTAAAGAGGTGTCATAGAGGAAAGGATGAAGAGAAGGATGAGGGATGAGATCAAGGCATCTGAAGATGTCAATTGACATTACATGTGAATAATTGATGCTATATTTATGAGTAAAAGTATTAAATATCAGAGATAGAGTGCATATAAATGTAAAAGTGGAGTGTAGGGAAAAACAAAATGCTGATGAGGTGGGGTCAAAAAGTGCAGTGCTCATCAGCAGGCCAGCTGTTTCTTGTTCTTCGGTCGCCTCATGGAAATGTATTGCGTGACTCTCTTTCTCAGCCGTTACACTGGGCAGTTGTGAAACAGACACCAATTCAGCCATGCCTACTTAGACTTCCTCTCTGTCTGTTAATTCATACGTCTAGCTCTATTGCACGCAGTCCGCTGAATGACTCCCAATTCAATTGTCCTGCTGGCACCCTGCTTTTTATGCTATTCTAATACGGCCGAAATTTGCATGTGTGCAAATATTGTCTTGTTTTGGATGAGATCGGCACACATAAATCGCGTCTTCAATAGCGGCCATATTTCTTTTTGTCATCACTTTGCAGGCAAGACACATTTGTGCTCGTTTCGAATTCTGAGATAAGTCATGTCTTTTGTCATGTGGACACTGAGCAGTGACTGTTTCTTGTTTGAATGCAACTTTAAGATCATATGAAGTTGTGTTTTGGTTTGACTATATATGCTGGTCAATGGTGCATTATGGATTGCAACGTCTATTTTATTATCTTAGCAGTTATTAAGTAGGCAGTAACGGTTATATTTCAAACTTTCTAGAGACTATTGAGTAGAAATAATTGTGAATTTGAATACAGTTATTTGTAAGTATTTTATTGTGTTGTTTGTTAATTTTTTACTCATTATTTATTTTTGGTTATTTAATTATTTCTTGTTGATTATTATTAATACATTCATTTGTGTTTATATGCGCATTCTTAGTTGGTTAATATTTGTATTATTTAATTAATGTGTTTATTCTTTTAAATTGTTTATTTTAATTTTTTGTTTTTAGAAAGTTTAGTTTTTTGGTGGTTGGTTTAGTTTAAATTGTTGGCTTTGTCTAAAGTATGTTACTTTATCTGTGTTGTATATAGTACATAAATTCATCCTGATGGTATTTTACAAGGTATTTGTTTTTAGTTTTCAATTATTAAGTAACATTGTAAAAATTTGTTTCTGTGTCTGCATTTTGAGATAAGTTCGCAGTGTTTATTTAGTAATTTGTGTTGGCCTGGGAAGGTGATTATAGCAATTTTATCCTCCAGACAGTTTACAATTTTTGAATTTATTGTTGTAGGCTGATGCTGTTTTCCATTGCTTTTACTTTCCCATATATATTCAGAGGGCATTGTGCCATTACTACAAGGTTATTTTGTGTGTATAATTTCTCTGTTTCTCAGGGCCTTCAGTTATTTCTTTATATATTTTTTCATCATTATCTGCTGATGTGGGATGTTAAAGTGGCTGCGTATATTATATTATTTTGTAAGCAATTGCCATTTAAGAGACATTTGTTCTTTGCTCTTACAGGTGGGTTTGATTTGTATGGGTGATTTGTTGGTTATTTTTCTGTTGTGCTTCTTTATTATTTGTGTCATGTTCTTGGCACAACTGTGTTTCTATTGATTATCTTATGTAGAGTTCTTGATGGGCAGGTGAAGTATTTGTGTATGAGTGTAATGAATATTTTACCTATGTCTGTTTTTATGTTTTTGTTGTACAGTAGGTTGAACCATATATTGCTTCTTTTTGTTGGCTTTTTTGTTCTGTGTGGTGTGTATAGGTGCTGAGAGAAATGGACTCCAGACCTTTGATAAGACCCATCTAGGAGAAGGAAAACACTGATGTAACACCCACCTCTCTGGGATTCTTAGCATTGATCATTGCGGTGTTGTGCAAGCTATACATGACTATAATCTCAGTATGGCCATTGTTATAGCCATCATGTATACACACACACACACACACACACACACACATATGATGTTCTGAAAAGTTCTTGACCTAACCAATATCAGATTTTTCTGAGAATTCCTTCTTGGTTAGGCAGGGGATACAACTGTACAGTTAAAAATTTATTTATGGACAAAGTCTGGTTTGGTTTATTTTGTTTTACAGTTATCAAAATTTATTTATGGACAATATTTTTAGGATAGATTCTGGAATTTGGTTTATTTTTTGTTTTATTTTGTTTTACAGCATATCAACCTCAATAGATTATTTAATGCCGACAACATTTTTAGGATAGATTCGTATGAATAGAATATGTATTCTTTGGTTTAGATTGGTTTGGTTTATTTTGTTTTACAGCATATCAACCTCAATAGGTTATTTAATGCCGACAACATTTTTAGGATAGATTCGTATGAATAGAATATGTATTCTTTGGTTTAGATTGGTTTGGTTTATTTTGTTTTACAGCATATCAACCTCAATGGGTTATTTAATGCCGAGAAGATTTTTAGGATAGATTCGTATGAATAGAATATGTATTCTTTGGTTTAGATTGGTTTGGTTTATTTTGTTTTACAGCATATCAACCTCAATGGGTTATTTAATACCGAGAAGATTTTTAGGATAGATTCGTATGAATAGAATATGTATTCTTTGGTTTAGATTGGTTTGGTTTATTTTGTTTTACAGCATATCAACCTCAATGGGTTATTTAATGCTGAGAAGATTTTTAGGATAGGTTTGTATGAATAGAATATGTATTCTTTGTAAGAAATCAGTTTGTAGATCAGGTTTCATTGACATATTTTTGTAAAAAGAGTTTTTGTCAAAAGTCAAATCTATTGCTGGTATTAAAATTGTTTTCAAAATTGAATTTCTGGTAATAATTTTTTTTTTTCATCTTCAATGATTCCACTGTATCATTTTTTGCATAATGTTATGCATTAGGGTGTTAGGAGTTTTTGCTTTTCCGGTTTATATTTAGTGGGTAAAATGTCCATAATTTCTATGCCCTTTGGTCTGTTAGCACTTTGTTTCGTGTCATGTTTTTTTCTTTGAAGGTCTTTTGTTTCTGAGTGGCTGTTTGGTCTTGTTTGATTTGTTTTTCCATTAGTTTCTTTTTTACTGTTCTCTTATTTGAGGTGAGATAGAATTTTCTTCATCTATGTCAATTTCTCTTGGTTCTTCAGTGGTGTACTGAGTTGTGTTATTTCTTATATGAACCTTTTATTTCTCTTGTGAATGTTTGGAGTGTTTTATTTCTTGAAGGATTTTTTTACTTTGAATTGGGTTTTCCAGAGTTATTTGTTTTGTAATTATAGATTCTTTTTTGTTTGAGGTTGACAGGATAGGATTTATTTTGATTATGGGTGTTTGGTTTATGTGTGGTATACTAAATTTTAGTAGTTCTATTAGTTTTTTTAATTAATTTATTAGAGTTGTAAGTTTTTTTGGTTTCTTATTGTGTTGTTCTCTTGTATGTCATTTTGGTGATTTGTTATTTTACTAGTATTTGCGTATGATGTTGGAAGTGAGTTAGTTTCGTCCTTTTTTCTAGCTTCTTGGAACAAGATGTTTTGCCTGTACTTTATTCTTATCATTTGCTTTTCCTTTTTCCAGATGTTACACTCTTTAGAATCTGCTGAGTGGTTTTGTTTGCAGTTTGAAAGGAGGCTTTTCTTCATGATCAGTGTTAAATTCCTCAGATCTTCAGACTGTTACTCTCAAACATTGATCTTGTAGATGGCCAAATTTCTGACATTTGTGACATCTACAGGCATTAGAGATGTATGGCTCTTGTTGAGGTATGTTAATAAGAATGGACCATTTGTAGATGTCAGTTTATTAACATGACCACACGATTTATATTTAACATAAAATACCACAAAATATGAAACAGCAAGAAGGAATAAAAACAATTTTTATAACAACAAACATTTATATTTATTTTGTGTAATGATGTACATGCATAGAAGTTAATATTTTGGTGTTATGTCCCTTAGACCGATTTAATTTTTTTATCTGAACTCACAAAAGTTGAATGAATTATCAAGCTGAAAAATGCTGAATAAACTGTAGCTTTACAAAAGTATTTCAAAGAGAAAAATTCTTATTGCACGTTTGGAAATGTTCTGTATGTTTGTAATGTAGTTTGGAAAATTTTGTACATACGTGCATGTGTGAATATGCTTTTAAAGTCTGACTGCCCATGGTCGAGGCAAGATCCTTTTACAACTACATCTTGTAGCGAGAAGAGAGAGAGAGAGAGCAGCAAGCTAGTGTCTGCTATTTATAATTGATGTAATCACGTGACAGGTTCACAGGAAATGGCCAGAAAACTTGACTTGATCATGTGCTGGAAAAATATTTGTATGTGGATGGATTGCAATGCCCACTTGTGTGTTTATTGACCAATTAGAAGCTAATATTTCCTGAAAATCTGCATGAAGCTGAATAGAATTGTACAAAATTCAACATTGATAAGAAAGTGGTAGCGGGATGCTAAATTCTACCTTGGATATTATGTATCCTATTTTTTTGTTTTTTCAGTAGGGTAGGGTTGTTGAATATCAAAATGTATATGTTTATGTTTATTGATGAACCATTTCTTTTTATTTATTTTCTTTTGACATCTGTTACACCTTGTTTTTTTAGGGTGTCATCATTTTTAATTTCTTCCAGTGAGCAAAGTGACAGTTCTTGATATTTTATTACTTCTTTATTGGAGTTAAGAAATTGGTGAGGATAAGTCTTTACTTTCATGGCATTTATTTGATTTTTAAAATCTGCTATTTTTCTTTCTTTTTTTTCACTGATTTTGGTTCTGTCATGGCTGATATAACCTTTTGTAACACAAAAGGTGACACTTTTGTTATTTCACTCTCTAATGATTCTATGACTATCTGTTGAGCTGTTGGGAGTGTTCTGTTACGGTTTTTGGGTATATAACACCGATGACTAGTGAGCGAGTCAGAATGACTTATTTCCCTTTATAATCGACCAATGGAAGGTTGACCAATCAAAGCCGCCTAACACTGTATTCGTCGTGTATAAAGGCGGCCATCTTGTTTTTGCTCTACCGGAAGGACCAAAGGCGACCAGGAGAAGGATGAACTACACTCTGCTGTGATATCCACTGCAAACCTAAAGCACGCTTTCCTACTGTCTCCAAATATTCACTGCTAACCTCTAGATTCAATACTCAAGGACGACCGTCATGGAAATGTCTAACATGTTCCCCACGTGTGTGTATTCGAATAAAGACAAACACAGTTGTAGGGATAAATACTGGTATATTTGTAAGAGGTAATTAACAACAGAGTGATTACTAATAAGGAACGCCGGTTAGTAAGTAACAATAGCAAAAGTCTACAGTCCAATGGTATGTAATGGTAACCTGATCCATCACACTACACTTTCACACTACACACTTACTCTCTCTAGCACTGACTTATATCGTAGAGGGATAAGTCCATTATCAGTCAGAAGGTGGGTGCGCCCCAACACTATGAAAATTGGAATTCGATTTTTTTCCTGATATTTCATTGTCACTTTCTGTTTCCGAGTTTTTGTACTGTCTTTTGGATAATTTATAAGAGTTAGTCATTTAAGTTTGTTATTGTATTTGCCATTTGTGCTCCCAACTCGCCTCGGAGTTCCTTCTTAAGGAACACTATTGGGGGTGGGGACTAATCATATTCACCTAGATTCTCCAGGGTTACACAGATAGTATAGTCATGTTGAAAGTGACTGTGAGTAGCTGCACTCCCCCACCATATCTACCCATGTATAGTATGGTGTAAGGATTTGCAGCCATGTCATGGCTATTCTCTTTCATCTCAACTAGCTCTTGCCACTATGTGATGAGCCGATCGCATTGGATTGGGCTATTCCATCCACCTATCTATCCCAGGTTGGGGCTGAAGTGGTGTGTTGTGGAAACTCCTAGTCATTTTATACCAGGTCAGAAATCAGTCACCAAGACTCTGTCTCCAGGCGTCATGAGTTGCAACCCACAGCAAATAAGTGGCTCCATTAAGAGGGATTTGTAGAGTTTGGGAATCATTTTTTGTAAGTGTGTGCTTTATATATTGCGATTTTATAGGTATTTTTGTATGAACAGGTAGTTTAGATGTGGCATTTTGTATAAACAGGCAATTTATGGATTATGGTTTTTGTTGGTAGTTTAAAAAGGTGTTTATACATATTTTTTCCCCCCAATACATTGTTTGTATGGAAAAACTATATTATTTTTTCCTGAAGGCAGCATCCTAGGTATAAATGGATAGGTTGTAGGCTTATCATATAAGCTGATGGCATATTAGTTTCTAATTCATCTTGCTTCCTATACTATACACCTGGTGGTAGTTTAATGCCCTACCCAGGTCATAGGTGAACTTGTTTTAGGAAAAGACAAAAAAAAACAAAAAAAAACATAATTGCAGTTTAGCTTTGTGCCCAGGATACGGATGCATTTTAACATCATGCCCAGGATACGGATGCAGTTTAACATCATGCCCTATGTGGATGCAGTTTAACGTCATTCCCTATATATATATATATATATTCATATATATATATATAATTGAATAAAAAACAGACCATGTTAAGATTCCATGTAATAAGCTATTTCACCATAACCCCTTTAACAGCTCTCTGTTGGATTACCTCCTCAGGTCTACCCATACGGATTACCTAAGTTTGCATAAACTATATATATATATATATATATATATATATATATATATATTATAAGATAACATCATACCCAGGATAAGGATGCAGTTTAAGGTTATGCTCAAGACACATTTATAAACAAGAATTTAAGAGTTTCATGACTTCTTTTAACAAAATTTGAACTTGATTAAATACCTGTACTGCCAATTCACATCTGCCAATTCAATGGAAGATAAAAAAAATAAATATCCTGTATTTGTTTCATTTGTTTAAAAATGTTTCTACTTTCCTTTTTCCTGTCAACTTGCTTATAACTTCATTGTTATGCTTTCTTTTTTTTTATTCATTTCATCCCAAATCATAAGCATAAATGGAACCAATCAGATGACAGTATTTTTTAATCATTTCATCCCAAGTAAGGCAATAAAGCTACTAAGATGCAGGGGGGTGACTGAGTGTGAAAGAATATAAGAAAAGGAAAAACATTATTGAGGAGCAGGAACAATGAAAGATCATGAATTAAGACAGAAGATAATGTTTGACATTGCATTTAACTTTTTGAAGATCAAACTTGACAGGAAAGTGAGAAGCCGGAAGAGAGTTCCACAATTGAGAAGTGCGAGAAAAGAAACTGTTAGCTCTAAGCTTACAGTTACATCTAGCCATTTCAACTGTAAAATGAGGAGACCTTGCCATCACTCTAGTACTGTGTTTAAATTCATAAAGTCTAGGTAGAAGAATAGAAGAAATTTTATCAGAAAAATTACCATGAAAGTATTTACAGAAAAAGCACTGGGAAGCTACGTTATCTATCTATAACTCTTTTCAATCCTATCTATTTATCTATCTATTATCTATTTGGTTATATCTAGCCAGTTCAACTGTAAAATGAAGAAACCTTTCCACCAATCTAGTACTGCGCTTAAATTCATAAAGTCTAGGTAAAATAGAGGAAAGTTCATCAGAACAATTACCATGAAAGTATTTATAGAAAAAGCACAGAGAAGCTACGTTCTAACTGTGGAAAAGTGGCTGAAGCTGGGATGCAAGGTTAGGACCAATAATATTGCAGGTTCTTCTTTGGATTTTATCAAGGATCTCTAAATATATAGCAGGAGCACCAGACCAGATGTAGCAACAATATTCAAGGCATGTGGGGAATGGTAGATTTATAAATATATAAGACAGATTTGGGCAAGAAAAATTAAAAGTGTTTAAGTTCTATATCCAGAGAACTAAAAATAAGTCAAAGAAAATTACTTACCTATATACAAATGACTTCTGGATTGCCAAAACTCCAGAACCTTTACTATAAAAGGATGATGACCCAGCATTGACTGATTAAAAATAAAATAAAAATAAAATTATAAAATTTGTTTTATGGCACCTATGTGGTAATTGTGTACATTCTTTATATATATATATATATATATATATATATATATATATATATATATAGAGAGAGAGAGAGAGAGAGGTTGGATTGATGTGAGTTTATGAGCCTGGGTTTCGTTTGTCTGACGATTGCAAAAAAGTGAAAACCCAGGGTCACAAACTCATCAATCAACCAAATATGTTAGCTCTATCTCTGATATTGGCGCTTTCTAATAAGTACCGTGCATATAATATACATATATATATATATATATATATATATATATTACAACAAAAACATGTAAAATTGCTATACAATTGCAGTCATGTTTTAACGCATAACAATGTGTTTCCTCAGGTGATTGTAGATTACTGGCAAGTGAACGAATTATTTGGTTTCAAAAGAAAAATACATCATCATTTTATGAATATATATATATATATATATATATATATATATATATATATATATATAACCAACACAAAGCCTGCCAAGTGAACAAAGAAAATAAAAAACAAAACCAATAAATTAATTGAAAAAGGAAACAAACAAAACCAAAAAATAAATAAATAAAAAGAAACACCTACCTAAACAGAACAGTAAAAGAGAGTGCTCTATGTATAAATATGCAGACAGAGCAAATACACTACTAAGCAACACTACACAAAATGAGACAAAGTTCAATTTATATATGTCTGACAGCCTGACGATTGCATCTAGCATGAAACAGCCTATTGCCTCTAAGTGTTGACTTCACTTTTATATTTACACAAACTATCTCTGATATTGAGCACATTATCCCATAAATATATATACACACACACACACACATAATTTTGGCAGTCATTTTTTGAAAATCTTAGACAAATGGTTATTCTACTCAAGCCAAAAGGTAAATATTGACGCACATTATTGACTTGAGTCAATGGCTAAATATTGGCCCATGTTACACACTCAAGTCCAAAGGTAAACATTAACTTGAATTATGCACTAAAGTCCAAAGGTAAAAACTTAGCCAGATTTATACACTGTACGGGATGCAGTTGGCATATTCAAAACCCCACCAATTGGGCATTTGAACAAAACTTGTTCTGTTCTTTTTATTCACTGATCCATTCTACAGCCTTTTCCACTTATAAACTCAATAGAAAAGACATTCTTTAGTTTTGAGTTTGATAATTATTGCAAGACAGTGGCAGACGTACAGTTTTGGCCTCCTGAAGATTGACCAGATATAAATGGACTGAGATAGATATCTTTTTTCACTTTGTTCAATCTATGTCCTGACCCAAATTAAAATAGATAGAGGATAAAAACAATAGGTATAAGTAGATCAAAGTGTATAGAGGTTGAAATAGGTATGAATAGATCAAACTGGATAGAGATCAGAATAGGTATATCATATACTATCAGCATGACCTGGTGTTGCCCGTGCTTGATTCAAAAATCGTACGACTCATACAGCAATCGCTATCAGTTGACTTAAAATATTTTTGCCCTTCCTTTCCTTTAAAGAAGTGCCCTTTGCCGTGCTGATGTTGTTACATGCCTTACTTCTTGCCTATCTCACACTGCAAATTTTTTCTAAGCTCTATACTAAACATTAAATCTGTTATGAAAAAAGAACTAAACAAAATGAACACAAAACGATCAGCTTTAAAAAAGGACTCGTAACTGGAAAAACCGAATGAAAAAAGAATGTTAACAACAAATACTTTTTCACACCCAACCCAGTTCTGCGGAATCAGAATCAACATTCATGGCAGCCAGCTATAGGCTCTCACTCTGGCCAGTACAAAATGGCCGCAAACTACATGAAAACTGCCATAGAAGCATGAAAAAATTGATTATTTCCACTATCGATGGGAGTTGGAAAATGCAAAGTCAGTATTGGCCTTCTTACTAACTTGGAGCATGTGCATGTAAATTTTGGTGCAAATCTGTCGAAAATTGCGGCCATGCATCCTGCTTTTTATAGATAGAGATAGGTTTTGCATGGAAATTTAAAAAGGCAGTGTTTCAATAATTGTGTGATGGTAATTAATTAACAGAATGAATCCAACCAGTTTGTAGCAAATGCTCCCATTTTTCTGTAGCACTTTTTTTTTTAGTTTAATAAATTTTTAATCAGAATATTTGCAATGAGTAAGTCAAAAATAACATTAACAATTTTGTTTTAATTAAGTTCTTTTTTATACTGATTGTAATATAAAAAATATAATTCTACTATGTTTCATAAAAGCCTATAGAATAAAATTCATATCTACATAATCTATTGGTTATATACTGTTAAAAATAATTTCAGCCTAAATAATATCAGTTTCTAGATTCTAGTAATTTATGTTCATATTTAATTCAATTTTATTTACATTTTTTAAAATGAGGGGTGACAGAAGAAGATTGCTGTTTTTGATATCTAACCTTCATGTCAGATGTGCTATTTTAGTGGCCTACTTCAATTTAATAATATTTTATTTGTAATCTAACTAATTCTATTGGTTAAAAAAGATTCCAATACATTTCCTATGTAACAGTACTGTAATCAACAAAAATCTGTAAAAAAGTGGATCACAGAGCTTTGATATTTTTCCAACTCTCGATTGGTCAATTAATGCCAATATCATTTTTTCCACTATGTCTGTACAGTTAAAATTAATTTACTGACAAAAATCTGTCTATGTGTTTTGAGCCTATCACGTGACATACAGCATTATAAATATGAAAAACATTTTCAACTCTTTCTCTTCTCTCTTTTGCCTTCTCTCACACATACAAGATGTAGCATTAGAAAGATTATGTTTGACCCTTTTGGGTAAACGCTATGACACACACATACATACGAACATCACTTAACTCATCAACTACAAGCAGCAAAAACTATTCAACTTCTAACAGTGAGATTTTCTTCAGCAACAAACATGCCATCCAAGAGAATACAACTTTCACCTCTTGTCAATGTTCACCAGCAAGAAATATTACTTCAAAATCTTCTGGTGCTAAAAGTTCTTATCAATATATTTTCAGTTTCTCAGAATTCTCTCACTCATATTAAACTCTCTTTGGTGAACAATCTAAGCGGCAATTTAATTCAACTTTTTGATATTGAAGTGAAGATTATATTTTCTCTCAATCAACAAGTTTCTTTGAACTCATCTTACACCGAATTTCAACCTACAACACCTTATTCAAGAACATTCTTTTTTTTGAGACTGAACATTATTTCATGAACTGAAATCTTTTCTGTGAGTCCAGATAAAAATATTTTCTCTTAAAACTTAAAAGGCTTTAAGAATTTCAAGTTAAAGGTAAATAACTCCTGCTATATTATTAATTAAATGTTACATATTAGCACGGCATACACTTTGTAACAATTTGCAACTCAGTTTAAATTACCTGAGTAAATTCATTCTTCACTCTTCTTGTATATTGTTGATGAAATGTTTTGTTATTATTAGAAAATATATCGTTGTTTTATATTTTGGATTTGATAGCCTTGTGACAAACTTAAATGTTTGTGGAGAACTTTATTTTCACGCAGCCAACACAAATCTGATATACATATTTTTCCCTTCATAACCTACTCCTCCGCAACACTATGTGCTTAAATTTATTAATAATTTACTCTGAAACAAACTTTTCTACAATACTAGATTTTAAAGAGATTTTTGAACTTGTTTTCATTTTCTTTTCATCAATAAAAAAAGGATGTTTGATAATGTTTTAAATTTAAGAGTCTAAAAAAAAAACAAAAAAAAACAATCAAAAAAACAAGCCTAATACCGTAATACGTAAAATTCTTTTTTTGTTTTTTTAAGTATTAGCTTTTAAAAATTAATTATTCATCGACAAAAATAAAATTCTTCAGCAGACTATAATGAAATGTCCTTAAAGTTATTTAAAAGCAATTAAAATTAAATTTTATTAAAAGCTTTATTTATTGCATATTTTCGGGGAAATCAGTTAAAACAAACTTTGAAAAAAAAAAAAAAAAAGATGAAAAAAAAAATATGATTAACATTCTACAATACATGGATGGAGTCTTGCATTAAAGTTTGCGATTAGAATTTAATTTCTAGAAATTTAATGAAATTAAGTTAGTTAACTCCACCAGGTCGCGTAAAAAAGCAGTATGGCATGATGAAAAAAGGCCCCAAACTCAACGAAAACAAAGTTTTGTTATCAAAATGTTTATGTAAAGAGGAGATATTCTCAGTTTCCCAGAATTCTCTCACTCATGTTTCATGTTAAGGTCGACGAGAGTAAAAGAGGTTTGTTTTTTTCCGCTTTTCCCGAGGAAAACACACGTTGATTTGGAAATTCTTGCAAAATTTAAAAATTCAAAAATCAAATGCTGCTTGACAGACCAGGCTCCTGTTAACCATTCAACAGTTTCAATATTGGAAAATGAGTGGCAGGTGAAGCTGGTAGAACTCTGCTGCGATTTCCATCCTTTGGAGTTGTAACAAAGACGAAGATGGTCCTGAGGGATTGCGAGGGAAATAGTAATGTGAGTGAGTGCCTAGCATGGCGAATTCTTGTAGCATTCAATTCCTTTAGATAAGTAATAAATTGGGCCTTGTTTCGAAAATGAAGACCTTTGTTGAACAACAAGGTGTTCCATGGTCCGATATCACTAGATTCCAAGGGAATTGGTTTCACGTAATTTTTCATCTAGGTGCAACTTTCCCATTTTCGATCAATGCAAGCAATATGTCTTGGGACTTTCCTCAACAAATAAGACTATTGCAAACCCGCAGCAAATAATTACGGAAGAAGCTGCTATCATAGAGATGCAAGTGCTGGGAATCATAGGGAAGATGCTATCAGGGCCTTGGGTGAGTACCTTCTATATTGGTGTGAATAACCAAAGAGACCCCATTGACACTATGAACATCGTCAAGGGGGTCATTGACAATCTGAAGGTACTCACCAAGAACCCTATGTCTATTTTTGGCTCCACAA